GCTTATTGTCCCATACAAACTTTGAGGTTAGGTTTTTATACCATTTGATGCAATTTTTCGATTACTCAGTTCAGCTACTATGAAAAAGGTATACCTACCTCTCAAACTTCTATAAAATAAACCGTTTCCGAGATATTCGAGATTACAATAATTGTTATATGCGCATAAAAGGACTAAAAGGTATATGATAACAAATTTTTTAATTGAAAAAAACTACTTTTTTTTTTAATGTGACGGTCAGGGCAAAAAGTTCCGAGGCTCATGGAATGCCCTTTTTAGTTTTTTCAATTAAAAAATAAAATTTGTTATCATATTTCTTTTAATCCTTCTAAATAATGCGATATAACAATTATTGTAATCTCGAATATCTCGGAAACGATTTATTTTATCGAAAATTGAGAGGTACACCTTTTTAATGGTAGCCGAACTGTTTAATCGAAAAATTGCATTAAATGTTGGAAAAACCTAACCTCAACGTTTGTATGGGACAATAAGCTTAAAGCAACCCCCGTTTCTACGACACTGTGTTCACTCAAACAATTGTAATTATGTGTGAAAATGTGTTTTGGTAGTAAGTGACTGTTCGCAAAATATCACCTTTCCAAGACTACCATAGTAGAAGTTACATTAAAAAACTGATATGATAAGTAACACTTTAACACCCTGTATCTTGGAAACAAATGTTATTAGATTAGCAAAAATATGTATTCAGGTTTTCGTCTTACTTTTACTTGCTCAATCTTTTCCTAAATTTATGCCAATAAGTTTAGGGACACCTTGTATATATATCGTCTTTTTGTCTTTCCTATATTTATTTATTATGTTATATATAACAAACAAAAAAACGGCAATGAAAACTTAAACGATATATAATTATTAATATTATTATAATAACACAAAAAACAAACAAAATAAACGAAATTATACAGGAATTAAAGGAAATATTCAAAAACACAACCGACAGCTTCAAAATTCTAAAACGTCAATTTCTTTTTCTATGCGTCATTTTAATAAGCAAACTTTTAATCTAAACATGACAACATTGCAATTGCTGCCAACTAAAGTTGTTTAAAATGCATTAAAATATTGAATTACAGACTTCGTTTTATACATTTAGTGTTGGTACCAGTGCGAAATTATGACGTCATCAATGACGTGTACGTCGTTTCCTTTTAAATTTACCATATATATACAGTGTATTTTTTGAATGTGTGTGATTGCGTCATCAATTGCTGAACCAAGCAAAGACATTAAAATGTGTAGCTGTCTTTTTTATTCTTTGTAAAAGTTCAACCGAAATTCTAAAACGTATCGGGATCCGCTAAACCAGCAGATGGCGACACAATTAAACGTAATTTACGACAAACGTCAATCCGATGTCGCGCTCACGCAGCTTGTGCTGAAAAAGGACAGAGCGCGTATAGTTTGTTGTGGCATTGAGCCGAAATTTATCAAAATTTGAAGGTTAGTCAGTGGCGTTCATACAGTAATTTGGCATTAAAGAACAGATTTTGGAAGTTTGACAGGTTTTAAAAAATGTCTTGCAAACGTTTGGACGATAATCAGAAACGTTTTATTATTAATTTAGTGCAATGTTTTCAAAGGGAACTGGAGCATGGGGAACCCCTGCTCCCACTAAACTGTGTCCAATAGGTAAGCTATGTTAGGCTTGTTTCTACTGAGCATGTTTACTTTAGGGTCAAAGGAACCTTCACTGATTGTGATGGACAACGCTCCTTACCACAGCGTCGTTGTTGAGCGTCACCCTACAAGTGCTTGGAAAAAACAGCAAATAGAAGAGTGGCTAACAGAACATAATATTCAGTTTATCAAAGGTATATTTAAAGCGGAATTGCTGTTTCTGGCACGCTACCACACCCCGCCTAAGCGTTAAAAAGTTGATAAGTACCTCCAGCAGCATGGGCATAAGGTTTTGCGTCTGACTCCATATCACTGCCAGTTCATTGAACTTATATGGGCGCAGGTAAATACATAAACAATTAGATGGGCGCTTGCAACAACGAATTCTGTTTTAGGCTAAAACATATTATGATTCCCATATGGGGGAAGACGGCTATGGCGACAATAAAGTGCTAGCAATGTGGGGCCAAGCACTGAACCAATGCACGCCAGAACGTTGGTGTTTAGTAGTGAGGCACACCAACAAATTAATTGACGATTGGTTCCAAAAGACAAGGATGGTCGATGACGTGCCAGAACTAGTTATCCACCTCGGAGAAGACAGTTCCGACGAGGATGACTTTTAGTAATTTTGTTTTCGTTCTCCTATAACATTTTATTTTAATAATTAATGTTTTGTCTTAATTAACTTATAATATATTATATGTATGTACATAATATTATGTACAAAAATTGTGTATGTTTATTGTTTTTCGTTTATAAAACTTGCATAATTTACATTAATAAAGTTAAAATAACTATCATTAGAATTATTGTTTAATTGTATGTATTTTAAGTTGCGGCGTTGAGGCGACATTAGTCAACCAAAAATACACCCACAATAAATGCTTAGACACCTTCAAAATGATACGCTACTGACTCTAATTTTAGTTTTGGTTTAATTCATACGACCCAATTGATGACGCAATCACACACATTCAAAAAATACACTGTATATACAGGGTGTCCCATAACTAATGGTACACAGTAAAACTGCAGATTCCTTGGGTAAAAAAATTACGATTAGACCAAACTTAGCTTAGTTCAAAAGTTGACAATAACCGAGATACAAGGTGTCCCAGTGAATATTTAATTTTCGATTTTCCTAATTAACTTGTTTATATTTCAATATTTTTGCATAAAATTTTGTGATTAGGGGTTTTTTGGGTCGAGAAATTTGAATTTGTTAATAATTTTGATGTAGATTGTAGAGGGCGCTCTCTTCGACGCTCTGGGTACCAAAAAACGAGTGTAACTTTTTCGCGCCTTCGCTTATTTATGTTTTTATTAAAAATATCAATTTTACCACCATTTTTACGCAAAAAAGATATACCTTGTAAATGTCGATTCGGGGATTTGTTTTCGAAAGTTTTCCAGTTACAATATTTAATGCATCCGTTTAAATTTTTATTTGCAAAGGTCAACTTTTCAAAGTAGGCTTCATTTCTATCAAACTGTCATGTGATTTGTCAACTTTATAGTTCTTTTTTAAGTTTTTAAAGAAACTTGTTAAAAGTTGAGTTAAAAATGCCACGACATAATTTATTTTCTAACGAAGAGATGCGAGACATGGTATGCTTATACGCACAAGAAAATTTTAATGGACGAAGAGCACATCGAAGATATTTGGAAATGTATCCACATTTAAGGCAGCCAGATTTTAAAATTTTTAGAAACCTTTACCAGAGACTGGGAGAAACAGGATCCTTTCGTCCCAAGCGTAATAGTGGGGGACGCCCGAAGATTATTACACCCGAGCAGGAAGAAGAAATACTAGTTCGCGTGGCTGAGAACCCGGAAATTAGCACAAGACGTATGGCTGCAAATACTCCAGTAAGCAAATCATCCATTTTTAGAATTTTTAAGCAAGAAAAGCTTTATCCGTACCACTTTACGCCTGTTCAGAATTTGTTGGACATTGATCTTCCAGCCAGATTAGGATTTGCCCGTTTCTGTCGTACCCAGAAAAATGCCGACCCAATGTTTTTTAATAAAGTCTTATTCACCGATGAAGCAACTTTTACACGGAGAGGTGTCTTCAATTTTAGAAATAAACATGCGTGGGATTTAGAAAACCCCCAATTAGTAACCAAACGCCATTTTCAGCATGAGTTTAAAATAAATGTGTGGTGTGGACTTATTGGCAATTACATGTTGGGTCCAGTTGAGCTACCACCAAATTTAAACGGACAGCTATATCTTAATTTTTTGCAAAATCAGCTTGCCGATTATTTGCATGGTCTACCATTAGAGCTAAGAAGAGATATGTTTTTTATGCAAGATGGTGCCCCGGCACACTATTCCAGGATTGTTAGAGATTACTTAAATATCGAATTTCCTAACCGCTGGATAGGTCGAGGAAGCCAAATGCCTTGGCCTGCCCGAAGCCCCGACTTCAACCCCCTTGATTTTTGTGTATGGGGATACATGAAATCACTTGTTTATGAAGAGACGATTAATACTAGGGAACAACTATGGCAAAAAATTCAGAATGCAGCGGAATCGTTTCAAAATGAACAACTATTATTTAAAATCAGGCGGTCATTCAATAGACGAGTAGCCAAGTGCATTGAAGTTAACGGCAATCACTTTGAGCAATTATTGTCAAAAGAAAATCTTTTCTTTTATTGAGATTTCAAAGTTTTTATAATATTAATAAAATATATTGATAGTTCAAATTTTTTAAATTAATAATAAATTTATAATAGGTGCTCTAAAAATCTACCATTGTAATCTAAATTATTTGTAATTAAATTCTATTCTATTCTATTCGACTAATATTTAATACAACAATGAGTTTTTAAAACGGATGCATTAAATATTGTATATGCAAAACTTTTGAAAACAAATCCCCGAATCGACATTTACAAAGTATACCTTTTTTACGTAAAAATGATGGGAAAATTGATATTTTTAATAAAAACATAAATAAGCGAAGGCGCGAAAAAGTTACACTCGTTTTTATGTACCCAGAGCGCCGCAGAGAGCGCCCTCTACAATCTACATCAAAATTATTAACAAATTCAAATTTCTCGACCCAAAAAACCCCTAATCACAAAATTTTATGCAAAAATATTGAAATATAAATAAGTTAATTAGGAAAATCGAAAATTAAATATTCACTGGGACACCTTGTATCTCGGTTATTGTCAACTTTTGAACTAAGCTAAGTTTGGTCTAATCGTAATATTTTTAACCAAGGAATCTGCATTTTTACTGTGTACCATTAGTTATGGGACACCCTGTATATTAACAAAATAAAAAATTAATGCTCCCAAATTACCCTAGAGAAGTGGCAAACAGTGATATTAGGTACTTACACTTCTTCTACATCATCATCGTCTTCATCCAAGGCAAAGTAGGGATTGTGTGAAGCAGGCCTGAATTTGTAAGCAGTCAAAACAAAGAATACATAGGTTGCCATCTCTCTGAACATTTCATGTAGCCATTCATATTGGAATGTAACAGTCATTTTCAACAAGGACACAATAATCCTTGTGGTGTAAATGTAGCAAACAATCATGACATAAAAATGTCTAAACAACTTTAACTTTCTTAAGTTCAGAGCAGCTTTACCATCAGTTTGTGAAGCTTCCTGTAGATGTCTTATAGACCAAACCACAGGGAACAAAATGCACCCACAACATAATAAATCAACAAGAATAACAATGTCTCTCCATGCAGTGTATTCCCTTGCACCTTCCTCACTCTCTTCCAGAATTATTTCAGCCACATTTGCCAAAACTTGCAGTGGAATAATGGCCATAAAAACTCTCTTATCTCTGGGTGTAAGTACATGCTTTATAAACGTCCAACCAGTTCCCACCAAAACAATTACGACAAAAAGGAGAGCCCCCTTAAGTAAATGGGCTACATAAAATAGGATAGCCCATGTTGCCAAATGCACTCCCAAACTCTCAATGTAATGGTAATTAACTCCATGGAAAGCCAACGATATTGCTTTGAGAAACACTAACACAGTCATCATGTAATGGATTTTAAATACAGGGTGTTTGGATTGTCTTAATAAAAACACCCAAAACATTCCAGAAAGCATAAACAAAATTGACATCATGCAATATAAAGCAGGCAAAGGCATTTCTCCAGCCGACAAAAAGCTGCTTGTATTTTTTTCAGTTATTTGAACAGTACAGTCCACATAAGTTTCTTTTGATGGATTATAGTTTGGGCAGTTGTGGAAATATAAGTTGTATAAACCTTCTTCCTTAATGGTTTCTACACTCATATGAAACTACAAAAATATAAAGTCAAAATAATGGGAAAATTAAAAAATTGTATACTTACAGATGCATTGTAATAGGTAACCCCATTCTTTACTTTTGAAGTCATTGGAAAGGATAAATTTTTACATGTGTATGTTTTTTTTTCATCGGATTCATGATAAATATGAATTTCATCATTATTGCAATCTATTTTCATTCTAAAATATAAAAACACATATATGTACATAACTATTTTTATTAAATTTAGAAATCATTCCATTGCATTTTAAACATTCCTGTGGTAAAACTTGTAAATTATTTTAGTGTTCTTAAAAATGTTAAATTAAAGGTTAATAAATTACATTTAAAAGGTAGTATTATGTTTCTAGCAAAACCAAAGTTGGGTATATTTAGGGATGTCATTTATATGTCAATTTTGTCATTTATGGTCATTTTTATTTCCTTATCTTCAATGTAGATATAAAAGCATCAGACAAGTGACTTAAACATTAATAGACATAAACTTAAACATAAATTTATTTGAAAAAAACAAAATTTAAACAAAATCTAAAATTTAATAAAAGTCCTAGTAGAATATCTATCTGGTTTATACTCAGTTATAACTAAATTTTTGTCAGATTTATAGTCATCAACATCAAAGTCATCTAATGACAGAAAGTGCAGCTTCCACCTCCCAGCTTGGGAGTTTTTTTGTGTTCGCGTTGTTGGATCGAGCTGATATTTTAGTGACCCTCATATATTTTGGTGACTGTGATATATTTAAATGACGGTCAGTTTTTTTGACAGTCAGAAATTTAAATTGAAAAAAATTAATGACAAGGGTGTCATAAAATTAAATGACATGACCGTCATTTTCATTATGACCGTGACATGACATTGTCATAAAAATGTGCTTACATCCCTAGGTATATTAAATATTAATGTTTATATTATTGTGTAGTGGCTAAGCAACCCTTTATTTAATTTATGCTTATTAAGTTGTATCTTCATTTGGTGATATTTAAATCCCCACTACAATCCAATGCAGGACGCCACCATTTTTGGGACTTCCATTTGAACTGTTTGTAAAGAAACATGTCTTGTACAGTGTAATTTGTGAAACTAAGGTTAATCCTTGGGATATGGATTGGTTTTGACTCATCCATCGCAATGATGTTCATAGCAATAGTCTAGTCATTCCAGTTTTCACAGACTTGCATCTTGCAGGCAACCCTAGTTCTAACAAATTCTTAGCATCTATCAACTATCAATACCTTTTGTATGAAGATATTTTTGGTGTAAACTAAATAAATAATGTTTACTTCTGAAGATTGTTTCTTAAGAACCCATTACCCTAGCTGGGCTCATTTTCCGTTCCGTTGCATGTTTTTTAATATTATTTTTTTGTGAAACATAAAAAATAACTTCTTTAAATTGTTCTTTTGGTTGGTTTAATTATACATTTTCATTAAATAAAATTTATACACATTTAAAGACATTCATCCTTAATGGTTTCAGGATAATTCAAAATTGGCTCTATTTGTACAAGCTCTCACTAAATCTTTCCAAAACCAATTATATGTATAGCGTTTTCATTAACTGAAGCAAATAGACCACACTTTTTAACTATAATGATAGATAAAGATCAAATTATTGAAGTTTCATAAACTAAATACCTCGGGATAGTTATTGACAAATACCTAATGTTGATTATGTTACAAATAGAATCAAAAGATTAATACATACATTTTATCTTCTTAGAGAAATACTTAAGGAAATACTTTTAAAAACAATTTATAAAAACTTTGTCAAAGCTGTGATTCGATATGGAATACTGTTGTGGGGAGGGTTGTACAATAATTATCTAAAAAAACTTAACATAATACAAAAATTTATTTTAAAAATACTTTATAAAAAGCCTAAGAGATATCCGACCAATATGCTTTACTCTGAAGAAATACAAAATGTAAGATCTATATATCTAAAGGGTGATTCATTTAGACCTTTTTTTTTAATTCTAAATTAAACGCATAAAATGGAATTGGATGGTGAAATCTTTATTATGACCTGAAAGAACAATCTTTGACATTTATTTTTTGAAAATAATTTTATTTAAATGCTGGCCGCGACTACGCCTTACGTGGTCTATTCGGAAGGTCCAACTTTCGATCACTCTTTCTAGCATTGCGACCGGTATCTGCCCAATTACGCGAGTAATGTTGGCTTCTAAGTCCTGAATCGTAGCTTGCTTATCGACGAAGACTTTTGATTTAACATGACTAGGGTTGCCAACCGTCCTTTATTTCAAAGGACAGTCCTTTATTTCTAAATACTGTCCTTTGTCCTTTTGAAAGGTGTCAAAGGACGGCAAATGTCCTTTAAAATCCGGAAATACAGATAAATCCACAATTATTTCAAAAAAGGCTCATACAAATACCATAAAATGTAAAATTGGCAACATTTGAAATATTTTGGTAAATCCCCGAGCTTTAATTTATCCAGCATACCTTGTATTTTTATTTTGTTCCTCGTTGTGCTGAGCCCTTGTATGTAGTCGACTAGTCCCTGTGTGTAAGGTGTTTTTTTTAACCTTATTTTACAACTTTTTAACAGAAAACGGTAAGTGGAAAATACAATATTAAAATTATATTATTAGATTTCAGTTTTTTGTCGCAATATATTTTTAAACTTTAATTGGAAAATTAAATTAAACAGATTCATAAAAAGTAGCATTTTCTATTTTAAACAAGTAGTTGCCTAAATGCCAAATCATTATTTATTTGCAGGTTTTTGCTAAACATCATCAATCAAATCATCATGAATGGTGATAAAGTCGTCCATGCAAGTGATGATGTCCCAAAGTCACAGACATCTACGTTAAGCGGTGCCCCTTCTACACCACCTCGTCCGAAAAAAAAATCGGAAAAGCTGTAAAGTAGACCTGGCACCCAAAAAAAATCCCAATTTGTCCTTTATTTCAATAACCGAAAGTTGGCAACCCTAAACATGACCCCAGAAAAAATTCCAAGGGTGTGATATCACACGATCTAGGCGGCCAATTGACAGGTCCAAAACGCGAAATTAACTGCTCACCAAAATGATTTCTTAATAAAGCTATTGTTTCGCGCGCTGTGTGCCATCGTGGCCAGCATTTAAATGAAATTATTGCCAAAAAATAAATGTCAAAGATTGTTCTTTCAGGTCATAATAAAGATTTCACCATCCAATTCCATTTTATGCGTTTTATTTAGAATTAAAAAAAAAAGGTCTAAATGAATCACCCGTTACATACAGTTCTCATGTATATCAACAAAAATCAAGCTAAGCTTAACCATATAAATCATACATATGATACCCGTAGTAGAACAGACCAACAAGTAAAAACGCCTTTAAGTTACAGCAACATAAATTTTAAATTTATTACTTACATAGGACCACAATCCACACAAGGTCTGTTCTATCCACAGACAGGTGGTCTGTGGTTCTATCTCATGCTAAAAATACTAAAAATCACTGCAACACTGCACAGAGTTTAACGGCGGCCATTTTTGTTGTTTACAATTCTTGTGCTTTGGGTTTGTGCTGTTTAATAATTGTTTTAAACGTTGGGTTTCTTACAGAGGCACTTGTAAGCCTGAAATAAGGCCTTTAAGTGCTAAGGACAACCATTTTACTCCTCTTTTATAATAAATATACCTTATTCTATCAGGGCTGTCAAATGACAATTTGAAGGTTAATTTGTGGGTTATAATTTAACCTTAAAATTGACATTTGACAGTTTTATGACAGCCCTGATAGAATAAAGTTTATTTTTTACAATAGAGGAGTAAAATGGTTGTTCTTAGTACTTTAAGGCCTCTTTTAAGGCTTACTATGAGAAACACAACGTTTAAAACGATTATTAATCTGTATAAACAGAGCACAAACCCAAAGCACAAAAATTGTAAAACAATAAAAATGGCCGCCGTTAAACTGTGCAGTGTTGCAGTGATTTTTTGTATTTTTAGTACGAGATAGAACAGACCTTGTTGTGTGGATTGTGCATAGGACCTAAACTTTACAACATCTTACCAAAGCCACTTAAAGATATTAAACAAGCAAGAATTTTCAGTAGGGCAGTAAAATCATTCATTTATCAATATTATGTAGAAAAGTTAGAATTTATGTTTAGATAATTTATAGACTTATAATATTGTATGTGTAACATTGACGTATGTCGATCAACCTTGTATTTGCAAATATATTTAATTTCTGCTTGTATAGCACACAGGTGTCTGCAATTTTAAATTATACTTATGTAAAATTGTTAATGTTTTAATAAATGTTTAATAAATGTTTAATAATAATAATAATAAATTAACACAAATTTAGAGGCTTACGTTTTATTTTCCAAATCCAGAATAATATGTGTGATAATTGCATCTTGAGGTGGTCTTATGGCATCAGTAAGTACACAATGGTCCTCATTTTTGTTTAAGTATGGATCAACAGCTGATATTTTGGTTCTATCAAGACTAAAACCAAACTACATCGGACTTGATTACCATTACAATAAAAAAAATTCTTACTTACCATAGCCTTTTTATCCTCCGGATTGGTCTTAAAATTTAATACTTTAACATCTAAATAGCCCCCTAGGTAAAACCCAAAAGTACTTAATGGTATATATTTTCGAGCATCATTCTAAAAAATATTTGTTTTGTTTAGATAACAATAATCAATATTTTAAAGGCCTCACATTTATTTCCAGACTGTGTTTCCTTAAAGAAGCAAGTTGGAGAATAGTACATAATACCATTAACACAGAAAGGCATTTTGTTTTCATTTTTAATTGAAAAGTTTCTAATTTAAATCAACATAAAAAATCACATAACTAACTTAAACTATTTTATAGTCATTAAACAAGAAATATCCGAAAATATACTTATTAATAGTATTCTAATTTGGCAAATTTATAAAAAATTTGGTTATCTACCACGGAATTATCCAAACGTCAAAATTATTGATTTTAAAGCAATGTTCAGTGTTGCCAACTGATTTTATCAATTTACTTTTTGGGTTTACTTTAAAAATATATTCTTTTTCTTTAATTATACAGGCTTAAAGTATACTAAATTCGTTAAATCACTCCAAGTAGTGTAGAACCCAAAAAAATATCTGCAAATTAGATAAAATTTATTTAATATCCTCTTATTGGCGAGCTGAGCAATGTTGCCAAACATCAAAAATGAAATTCCCAAACGTTCAAGTTTCCGAGTTTCCAAACAAAAAATAGCATTATACAGGGTGTTACTTAAGTATGTACAATACATTTAACATACGATTCTTTGAGTGATTTTAAGGCAAAAAGTTCATATAAACATGGGTCCTCAAATCTTTCGTTTTTAAGATACAGGGTGTTGAACTTTTTTTTGAAATTGTTTTTTCGTAAATATCTTAAATATCCTTTACCTAATTTTCTTGTAATTTTGCAGTGTTATTTGTAGTGTTAAGGGGCTAATTTAGCTCTAACTTAATTACATTTATTAAGTCCACGCCACTGACTTTTTATATTTTTTTCGGATTAAGCAGCTAAGAATACAACATTTTTGTCTCTTGAATTTTGATTTCGAGAAAAAAATAAAATTCCCTTAATCGCTAAAATAACACAAACCCAAAGCACAAGAATAATTCTTGTAAACAACATAAAATGGCCGCCGTTAGATTCTGTGCAGTGTTGCAGTGATTTTTGGTATGCGCGAAGCGAGATAGAGCAGACCTTTTTGTGTGGATTGTGGATAAAGTATATACGTGTTTAATAAGTACATATATACGTGTTTAATAAAAACGAGTGTCTAGAGAAGTTTATAAAACGTGTTGCATACTATATACTCGTTTTTATTAAACACTCGCTCGCAAGCTTCGCTCGTGCCTAATAAAACTCGTAACTAAAATGGCGTTTATAAAACTTGATAAATAAAATACTTATTATTAAAGCAGTTGCCATGGCAAATGTAGAAATGGCCAACAAAACAAAAATTAAAGTACCTATCCAACTGGAAGATCAAATTTAAAATTTTTATATTAAAATGTCAGTATATATGACTTTCGTACATTGTATATAAATTATTTTTTTAGTGAAAAATTCCGGTAATATTATTTTAATGACTAGCTGAATATTGATCAAACAAATCCAAAAATGGAAGAAGATGAAGTTGAAGAAGGTAATTACCTAATATTAATATTGGCTCAAAATATCTTTTTATTACAATTTAATATAAGTACTCATACTAAATTCTTTTTTTATAGTCCAACTCAATAACGATCTTGAAAGAAAAATCGCGGATGTTTTTGATGTTTTTGATCATGCAGGCACAAAAACAATTGATATCCGCGAAGTTGGAACAGTTGTAAGAGGTTTAGGATGTTGTCCTACTGAAGCTGAGGTTCAGGAAATAACGTTTAAAGTAGAGGACCACAGTAATCCTGGAAATGTACGTTTAGCAACATTCATTCCATATGCTTGCCAGTTTCTTGCTGAACACAAGTAAGTGCAGTTGAACCAATTCGATGATTTGATTGAGTTTTTTGTTTAAGATATGAGCCTGCTACACCAGAACAATTATTGGAAGCCTTTCACACTCTAGATTCCGAAGGGTACGGCTATTTAACTAAAGACAATTTAATAACTCTTATGACACAAGCTGGAGAACCTTTTAATCAGGATGAGTTGGATGAAATGTTAGAACTAGCTATTGACCCTCACACAAACACATTGCCTTATGAGTATTACATTAACCAGTTAATGGTAAGTGTATTATTATTATTAACATTTTGCTTGCATATTAAATAAAATATTACAAATAGTTTGAACCCCCTGAAGATAAAGATATTTACAAACTATCTGATATCATTGAAGCTGAAAAACCCCCTCCCCCGCCTCCAACAAGGAGAATGTCAGAGTTTATGGCTGAAATGGAAAGTGAAATGGCCACTTAAATTTAAAATATACCTTTATTAAAAATAAAATAAATTCACCCTTCACAATTTAGAAAACACAGGCTTTTCTTTGCTTAGTTGTGCACCAATGGCGTTCTTGAAATCATCACTTTGTAGCATGAGTTGATTCCATAGTTTCTACAAAATAAAACGTTTTTTAGATCGATTAATCAACTTAATGATGGTTTTATTGGCTACCATTTGATCTAAACCTTCTTGGACGGAGTGGTCGCGGCCATAAACCATGCAGACTTTAGTACCTTGGACTGCTACAGGCGACTTTTGGGCTATTTCGTCAGCAATACTTATAACTTTAGATAACATCCTATAAGAGTAACAGTTTTAAAATGAATGTAAGATTTTGAATGCACAGTACCTATAATTTGGTCAAATAATATAATTCATGTACCTAATAGTGATTACAAGAAAAATGTCTAAATTCAAAAAAGAACAAAAAAATTTCAACCCTGTAAATTTTAAAATTCAAAATCCTAAAAATACAAATTTACCAAATAATTTTTTAGACAACCAAACATTTTTTAGATTATGGAAAATAAATTGAATTATCCATTTGTGCATCTGGGGGGTTACCTAATTTAAAAATATTTTATACCAATTGGTAGAATTCTACTGTTTAAGTGGCACTAATCATATATGATATCTATCACATTTAAATATTTGTATTTATAAAATTATCTGAATAATATAAAAATGGTTTAACTTACTGGTCCTTATCCTCAAATAGTTCCGAAACAAGTCCACATTTTAAGGCTTCTTGAGCTGGAAGTTTTCTGGCAGTATAACACAATTCCCTTGCTAGACTGTCTGAACCAATAATTCTTGGCAGCCTTTGAAGAACACCCACATCAGCAGCTAAACCAATGTCTACCTGATAAAATATATGCATATTTAATATATTAAAATTAAAAAGATAATAATATGAATTATTAGTATTATCTTAACACTATAAATATAATTTTTGTTACCTACCTCTTTTACTTGGAACCAAGCATCTTTGGTGCAATATCTCATATCAGCGGCGGCTATGATATTAATGCCGCCTCCTACGCAGGCCGAATGTACCGCCGATAGTACGGGTTTTTTACATTTTTCAATGGCGGTCAGGCAGTCTTGATACTTTTCGATTAGTTTTAGTAAATGTTTGGCTTTTCTGGCAACGTCTACTTCGCTCATAAGTATTCCAAGAGAGGATGTGTCAGACAAATCCAGACCTATAAAAATACAATACAATTTTAAATGAGTAATTGTACATACAATAATTGTACATATACATAGGTATGTAGATTTTAAATACACCATGGTGTATACCGTCAAATAAGGTAAGACTTTTGGGTGTAGAGCATATGATAGCTAAAAGTTTTTGACCTATCATCAATAGTTTATTTACTACAATTAAAAAATAAGACTTGATGGGTAAATATACTAGGTAGGTATACCTAATTTTTTAACTATTAGTGATACAACAAATTTGTATAACATTGAATGTACTATAAAATTGCTATTTAACTTTTTGACCTATCAATGATAGGCTATCATAAATAAAAATCCAAAAAAAACGCGTGATTTTTTGCATTTTTAAAGTTATTTAGTAAACAGAATATAAACGATAGAAACTAGATAGAAATTTTTTGTAGAATATTTAATTCTCTTTACCATGCTCAAGCATCAGTCATTTGGTAAATTCTCATATAACTTGTTTCGATGCTGTATCCACTTATTTTTGTGAAAACTAATTCTCGCTCAAGGTTTTTTTTAGTGTAATGAGCAAGTAGCATTTTAAGGTAATGGGAACTTAAATTATGACAACCCTAATCTATTAATTTTTTCCTAAAATGCAGGCTTTATGTTGCAAATGTCACATAAGTTACCGGTCACCAACTGCAATATCCTAACATTGATGAATATTTTAACAAAATGGCTGTTGAAACAACTAATGTTAGTGCTTGATTAACTCAATATAGACTTATATAAGATTGACGAAAAATTCTTTTATCCGAAATCGGCAGTAAAGTAGAACTTTACTGCCGATTTATTTTAATTTACGATTGTTGACTACTTTACTGCCGATTTCGGATAAAATAATTTTTTGTCAATCTTAAGTCTATTTTTAGTTAATCAAGCACTAACATTAGTTGTTTGAACGGTCATTTTGTTGAAATATTCATCGATGTTAGGATATTGCAGTTGGTGACCGGTAACTTATGTGACATTTGCAACATAAAGCCTGCATTTTAGGAAAAAATTAATAGATTAGGGTTGTCATAATTTAAGTTCCCATTACCTTGAAATGCTACATGCTTATTACACTAAAAAAAACCTTGAGCGAGAATTAGTTTTCACAAAAATAAGTGGATACAGCATCGGAACAAGTTATATGAGAATTGACCATTTATATCCTAAGGTGCACTACTACTTTAGTAGAATATATTATACTATAGTAGTAGTGCACAAAGCACATAAGCACATTTTGTCTTAGGGGGCATCCATTAATTACGTGAGGTGTTTAGGGGTGGAGGGGGTCGAGCCAAACCTCACCCAATCTCACGTGGGGGCAGGGCCGGATTAAGAATTTTGAGGCCCTAGGGCCGACATTTGGTGGGGGCCCTCAATATTTCTAACATTTTTGACACTTGTGAAATTAAAACTCATGGTAAATTTTTAAGCTAGATGAACATCACGTGATTTTTTATCATCTTTGAATCATTTATAATTTAATTTAATTTCTAACATTTTTGACACTTGTGAAATTAAAACTCATGGTAAATTTTTAAGCTAGATGAACATCACGTGATTTTTTATCATCTTTGAATCATTTATTATTTAATAAACCATATATATATATATATATATATATATATATATATATATATATATATATATAAATATATATATATAAATTTTAATAAAATCGGCCGTTTTTAAGCTATAAATAAAAAAAAAGTTTTTTTAAACGAAACACCCTGTATCTCGATAATGAAGCATTTTCGAACATGTATTTATAGGAACTTTTTTTCATATTTTGATGAGAGGAATTTCCCCTGAGCTTTTGTCACCACAAGTCTGAATCACCCTATATATTTTGAATAATACGAACATAACCTTATATACATTTTACTCAAGTAAAATATAAATTGATCTATGTTTTGTTTGTATTTTTAGTCTTACCGCAAACTGAAAAAAAGTGCATCAAAAGTCGTATTATTTGTCTGTTTTTCATACAAAATCAAACAATAAAACAATCTTTTGTTCAAAGAAAAGCACGAAACAGTATTTCGGAAACACCGGAAAATATTCCACAACACTCCAATGTACCAATAAAAATCTGGGACAAAAACTAATATTAGATTATAAGTAATTGACTGTTTGCCTGTATTTACAAAAACGTTACGACAAGCACTAAAGGAGCAACTGCTTAAAATTGATATGAGTCATAACTTATGACTATAGAAAAACGTCTTCGCGCGCCAAAACTATGTGTGTGATAATTATCACACACATAGTTTTGATTTGCAAGCGGATAAGCGATAAAAAATCTACTAAAAATTAACTGAAAATTACAGGATTCGCGCGGTATAACCGACCCAATTTTTTTTGCCAATTTTTTTCATTAAAAAGCTACAAATTGCATTGGTGGGGGCCCCTAAGTGGTGGGGGCCCTGGGGCCGTGGCCCCGCTGGCCCCATGCTAAATCCGGCCCTGCGTGGGGGATGGTAGTCTCGGCAAATTTTTTCTATTCGAATGAAACAGTGTAAAATTGCGAGAAAACTGGGTTAAATTAAGTAAACAATTATAACAATTGTTTTTTTTAAATAAATCTAATGGAATCAATCACAGATTAACTTATTTACATTAAAACCATGCATTTTAAAAAATCTCACGTGAGATTAAGGGAGGGGGGAGGGGGTCGAGCAAAATCTCACATCTCACCAAGGGGAAAAATCGACAAAATTGCCTCACGTAATTAATGGATGACCCTTATCAGAATCAATAAAATCTCGAAAATTGATTTTTTTGCCGTTTTCCTCAAAAATACTTTAGTTTAATAACTATAATATGTAGTTATTATAACTTGAGTTATCCTAGCTCCATATCCAGAATTTTCTATATATATATTTCAGAATAAGAACACGTTTTTATGTTTAGAAAAAAACATACGCTTTCTATAAATAACCATACCCCATAAAAATGAGATTTTATATTAATAAAAATGGGACCATTCACAATCGATTTCTTTTGTAAACTTGGTTGCCTATAGATAGAGATCGTTATTTTTATAGAGAGTTCTTTGTGCACTTTAAGTACTTTAGTTTAATAAGTATAATAGTATAATAAAGAATTTATTTATAATAATAGTTATAATAACTTGAGTTATCCAGAATTTTCTGTCTTCTTTAAGTGCTATATATTTCAGAATAAGATATTTTTTAATGTTAAGAAAAAACACGCTTTTTATAAACTTTTTTCTATTAAAAACTCCAGCCCATACCCAGTAAAAATGAGATTTAATATTAATAAAAATGGGACCATACACAATCGATTTCTTTTGTAAACGGGGTTGCCTATAGATAGAGATCGTTATTTTCATAAAGTAATAATTTTTTAACAATATTTTATAAATATAGTATTTGCAAACCTAATTTTAACGTAAATTTAAATATACAATAATACCTGCACAAAACAGTCTTCCTTGCCCAGACAAGACAATGGTTCTGCAATCTTCATCAGAATCCAAATTTTCAAAACAATTTCCAATTTCGCTAAAATCTCCCTTTTGAATAAATTGACTTAAAAACAATATTTATTTACTTACTGCCACATTGTTGCGTTCATAGCATTTAATTTGTCCGGTCTTGCCAGTTCCACATGATAAACGTATTCTTTGGGCACTGTGATCGAGAGGGTTTTATACGACGGTTTGGTGGACATCTTCAGGGTTTTTGCTACCAAATCTTTATTTTTTAACAAAGTCCTAGGCAAACTAAACATTATAAACTACAATTAAAACCCTGCCTGCGATTAATGTTTCTAAGCATCTAACTGGAGAACTAAGTGAGGTTAGGTTGTTGACTAGTTGTACTTTAAACTTTCTAATAATGTTGTATTTTGGACGAGATAGGTACCTTTCTACAATGCATTGTTTACGTTATCATTTTTTGCACATCTTTATTTATACTTATAATTATATAATAATAATGTTTCTTTAATTCATTTTAATATTTTTATGAATTGATTTTGGTATGTAGGTACAGGGTGATCCCCTATAATGTCGCCCCCCTTTAACTTTTTTATTTTAAGTGTCCCAAAAAATTTAAAAATGTCGTTATGTAGGTACTAAAAATTTTCTACGTACCTATAAAGAAAATTGGAAAATTGATCAGTATAGGTACAGGGAAAAACAAAAAGTTTATTTTTTTTTCAATGGATATAGGTATGTGTTTATTTTTCGATTCCTTGTAAAATTCCAAGCATATTTCATGGTATATTATAGCTTATACCGTTTCTGAAATATTTAAATTATTTTTAAGATAAAAAGTTGAAATAGTTTATCTTTCTCTGTCTCAGTACGCCATTTTTACTTATTTAACAAGACATATTGACATAAAGTCACTAGTAATTTTTTTTCAATAAAAATTTTGGTATACTGAGGCTTCTTGATTTCTAAAAGTTTAATGGTAACATTTCGAATGCGAATATTTTAGAAACAGTTGAATTTAGGTATATGCATGGTTTGTTATATGAATTATGCTTAGAATTTTACAAGGAATCGAAAAATAAATTCATATACAGCCCGTTCAGAGTAAAACCGAATATAGGGAAACGTTTTGGAGCGTGGCCTCGCCTCCCTCCAAGGCGCGTCACAGTAGCTTGTGTGATAAACGACATGACGAAAGGTCGAGCAGGTAAGACGACTTAAAAAATTAAATGATAAAAATGCAAAAAATCTCATTAGCGATGCAGGCTATTTGCTTAGCTACTGTGTCGCGCGTTGGAGGGAGTCGAGGCCACGCCCCATACGTTTCCCTATATTCGGTTTTACTCTGAACGGGCTGTATAGGGTGATCCATTGAAAAAAAATAAACTTTTTGTTTTTCCCTGTATATTGATCAATTTTCCATTTATTTTTATACCTACAAAAAAAGTATTTTTTAGTTCCTACATAACCACACTTTTAATTTTTTGGGACACTTAAAATACAAAAGTTAAAGGGGGCGACATTATAGGGGATCACCATGAACCTATTTGGGTTTAATTTTTTTTCAGTGTTTGCATTAATTATAATAAATTCAAAAACTAAAAAACAAAATTATCCCAAAATCAATTTATAAAAATATTAAAATAAATTAAAGAAACATTAATTATTATTATTTAATTATAAGTAGGTATAAATAAAGATGTGTAAAAAATTATAACCAACGCATTATAGGAAGGTACCTATCTCGTCCAAAATACAACAAAAACATTATTAATAATTATTATCTTATCCACCATTGATAAGCTGTGACTTTATGGCGTTTTAGTCACGGGATAAAGTTAGCAACAGTTGCTTATGGGCATTTTAGTCACGGGCTGAAGATAGCTTCATTATAAATTACAATAAAGTGAGGTTAAATTCGTCCGATGTCAAATATTTATGAATAAAAACTGGCATTAAATTCTTATTACTGTTTGTTATTAATTAAATAAATATCTGGGATGGTACCTATCTACCAATACGAAACATTTGGGGAATGGAAAATACATTATAATGTATTTGTATAAAATATATTTTTATTACCTAATATCAATCCAAGGGACCAAAAAAATAACGTAATAAGGACAAATTAAATATCACATTAAGTAAAAATAACGTTAAAATTACTACCTACATTAATTTAATAGATACCAATTTAAACCATTTGGTTATTTATTGGAATTTACTAGTACGAAAATTTTAGAAACAGTGACTATGCATGGTCATTTGTAAACGAAATCGGTAAAATAACGGTAAAGTTGGTAAAGTTGGGTAATAGGAAATACGTTAACGTACTTATAATTATTTTTACTCAATAATAACTATCCAAGCGACCAAAAAAATAACGTAATTAAAACATTTACGTAAACATAAGGTTAATATTACTCATTGTATGTTTTCTCTTTCTAAATTTAGGTTAACCTTTATATTTTGTAGAGAAAGCTCTGTGTCTTTAATTTATATTTTAAAATGGTAGCTATCGGGCCCGTGCGCAGGAGGGAGGTTGAGGTTAAAACCTCCGGGGCCATTAAAAGTCTCAAAATAAAAAAGAAAGTCGTAACTTTTAAAACAAAACCAATAACCACTAAAATAAACAAGTAAACAACTATCAATTAAAAACTGCGAACCACACACTTTGGAAGTATGTGCTGCGAACTCTATATATTATCTATATCTATTATTATTATACTAATGTAAATTACCTATGTTTAAAATTTTTATAATAAAATTCAATTTTTGTACATGAAATAAACAGTTTGTTTCTTCTACAACAATTAATTACTCTGTCTGGATTTTGCAACAGAGGTGGAATATTTTTTTATTGTGTTCAGGGCACCCAAAAACTTCTTATTTTTTCTTAGGAAATGGAATATTGCGCAAATTTTGAGCTATACCTATGATGGGTAACCTATCCAAGGCTGTTCGGCTCATTCATTCAGTACACATAAAAAATCTAACATAGGACCAAGAACAGAGCTGTCATTGAATGCATTAAAATTGAAGCAATCTAAATTGTTATTTGCTCAATTAATTACTATTAAACCAAAAAAGGGAAACATTTTGCCTAAATGACAAAAAATTTATTGCGTTAAATGTAGTATATTTATTAGTGTATTAGTATAGTTATTAAATAAATCAAATTCTAATTTACTATACTATAATAATGCAATAACATTCTAACATAAAATAAAATAAATATCAATAGATTTAGAAGCGATAACTTTTGTTGTTAATTTAAAAACAGTAAACGATTATAAATCAAGTGCTAACTACCTATTGGTATTATAGGAACTGTTATTCAGGAATACGGATTACAAGATCCAATTGGTTTAATGGCTCACCCATTCATGCTATGTAGATAAGATCGAAAAGGTCAAAAAGCAAACCTAATTTTCGTCATCCATGTCGAACTTTAACGTCGAAAATTAATACAACCGTACGAGATAACCACCCCAACGTTGTAGGAAATTTAATAAGGGGACATCCATTAATTACGTGATGCATTTTTCTGATAATTTGGACCCCTCCCTCCCCCTTAGTGAGATTTGGTGAGATGCGGTAGACCCCCCCTATCCCTCATGTGAGCTTCTAGCCATTAAACTTTCATTGCGGACAACATGATAAGCCCAAACAAAAAATTGATTATTTTTTTTGACAAATTTGAATTATAATACTTCTATTCTTTGAACCCAAAAGTTGAAGTGAGATTTTAAATGACCCCCCACCCTCCCTTAACATGAGATTTTGCTAGACCCCTCCCCCCTATTTTTATCTCACAAACATATTTAGACTCGATTTTATTAAAATCTTTACGTTAATTTTCGCATTTACAAAAAAAAAATAAAAAATTGTCAAAATGATATTTTTGCTTATAAACCACACTTTTAAGAGATGCTAAATAAAGAAGATGTATAATTTATTTAATAACATGAGTTGGAACAACTTAAGGTAGTTGTCGTGGTACAATATTGTCAAAAATTTTTAGATTATACGCACCGTAAAAGTATACGAGCTTGTAGCTAAGTGATTCATAATTTTTTCGCAAGAGTGTACCCTGGATACGTTACCTTTACGTAATACTTTAAAATATTTTCATAAGTTTTAATCCGGCAACGTCGCTTATGCTCAACCAATAGATATATTGGAGACTGAATCAGTCGGTTTGAATTTACTTCGGAAATAGTATAGATATTAGATCTATACTCGCGTACAGCGTTGCCAAGTTGTTTTTATCTGACACTAGTGATGTATACTTTTTACAAATTGTTGAACTTTAAACGGTTATTTATAAACAATTGGACGGTCAAAAATTTTTAATTATTTTTTTTTTAAACTCAGCAAAAATACATTAAAAGACTTAGTTTTTTTGAAAGCTTCTGACAGTTAGTTTTTTTATAACTAAGAAACTGGTAAAGAACTACAGAAAGCGTATACAATCCATGTTAATTATCCAATTTTTAATTGAATTTATCTCGGGTTATAGACGGTCCATCGTCTTCAAATTTTAAGAATAATTGTATTGTCATGTCCTTAATACGTATACAAAAATTTAAAATTTTCTGATGGTATGCTTACAGCACGACAACTACCTTAAAACGACGTACAGTCAATAAAATTGAAAAAGATAAATACGTATATCAAAATGTTTGTTATTCAATTTTCTACAAGATAATTATCTCAAATCAAATCAAATTATTTATTAGTGTTATTTACAAAAGGTTGTAGGTATTACACACAGACAGACTGTGTATTACACAAGTCAGAAAAAGAAATGTAAGTATATGATTTATATATAAATGTATATGACATAATTTATGTCACATAAATATAAAATAACATTTATCACAGAGTTGGTATATCACAGTTTAAAAACTAATCACAGTCATAGAAAGTCTTATCATTTAGGAACATCCTAATTCTAGTTCAAAATAGTCCTGAATCTAGGTTTCTAACAGCAACAGGAAGTTTATTAAAGTGACGGCAACACTTTTATGAGATTTTCTTAGCCTGTACTGTAGCAGTCTTAGATTGTTCTAGTTCTAGTTAATGCTAACTTTTCCTCATTTAGCTTAGCATATTTTAATACCTCTTAGATATATACAGATGGTAGAGTCAGTTCCACAAATGTAGTCTTACACTCATTTCCATATCTGAAGACAGTATCGTATATATACGAATTGCCTTTCTCTGCAACCCGAAAATACGTTTTCATTCGGACGCTCTTCCCCATGCAAGTATTGCATAAGAGAGTAGTGAGTGGAATAAAGAAAAGTAAGCTGTTCTAAGCGACACAGTGTGATAAGTTTCGCAAAACATATATACCATTGCCAAGTTTTGACGCCAGTTGATTAATGTGAGCATCCGATTTTAGCTTGTAGTCCAGATTAA